ATGAAGGAACATATCGCATCTAGAAAGCGTAAGCCGTCGAGGGGAGATGTTATGGTTGTGTTTGAAGGTCGGGAGACTACTAATCGTTTTTTGCAATTTTGTGTCGATGAACACATACCGATTTCGTATGAAGAGCCGTAAGTTCAAACGGAACCCTAAACCTAATCAGGCTTCCCCTTGAGCCGATTCTCTTGGCTGATATTGCGCTCTGCAGGTCGGCAATGGTTACCGAATGGCGAAACATGAAGTCTGTCAATACCTTGACAGGCGACGATTAACCAACGAACGGTGGAATCAAAAGTCGTTAGTTTAGGGTGGGGGAGTTCATAGAAGATTTTCCAAGACACTGTCGAGTGTAATACAAGCGCCATGGACGAGACGTCGTGCCACACATGCCCCGACACCGACGCAACACGACGCAACAAAAGCAGTCCCTTCGTTTTCAGGTTTTTATTAATTCAAAAATACACCTAAATGAACGATCAGCTCCGTGAATTATCCAGCCATGTATTTCGGATACGTCCCAGGCTCAGCGCCTTTAGTCAGTGAAATCGTGAAGCGTCTTCGGCCGGTGCCTTGTATCAATCAGCCTTTCAATGCCTGCGGCAATCCGTCATTTTCTCCACCCTCTGTCACACAAGCTAGGAATCTAAGTAACAGATCCGCGGGCACAAAGCACTAACAGCGCTTGCCCTAGTCCTTGCAGCACAGGGTGTGGCGAAGCAGCAGCTGTGGGCTAGCCAGCTGCGTATGGAAGTTGACGCCGTCTGTCCCGCGGTAGCTACGTTGAAAAGCAATCTTGCCCGGTGACGTCGCGACTACTTTGGTGGCTAGTGTACGGCACGATATAGTAGAGCGGCCGTTTCATTCCAATCTTGCAAGGGCCACATACTGCGCCGCTAACACAGGCTGCCTGACCATTGATAGCCTCCACTTTTGCTGTGTCCTTGCAAGAGGCCATTTAATGCTTCAGTACTGAGACGCCGTAATTGCCGCTCGACAGGGTGAACGGCATCGACGGTCACAATTGGAGCCAACTACAAAGTCCACTGAAGTTGCCTGACAAGTGCCACGTGCCCAATTTCAAGCACGTCTGCATACCTCGCCAGCTTGACGAGCTTTAATGGCGCTCCAGCGAAAAAATGGCGACTCTGACGATGAGGTCAGTCGTGCCTCAATAGCGGACTAGCCCGTAGAGGAGCTGATAGGGGAAGGGATCACACCTTGTCCGCGAAGATCAAAAAGTCTTTAACCCAGCCCAGAAAAGGGTCTCGTAAATCCGCAGTGTGCTTCTGGCTCTGGAACCATCCGCATTTGGCAATTCCGAAATCTGTAGCGTTACTAAAGTGCAATGAGGAGAGGGGATTCTAAGACAAAGTCTGCTGGTCACATTGTTTTACACTTATATTCCGTGTCGCGTTGTGCTCGGTGGCTCCAGGTTTTGCGCGCGGCATCAGGCCGGTCATTTTCAAGGATATCCAGCTTGGAGCACTCCCAATATATTTATAATTGGTGGAGCGATCCGACTTGGAACACTCCAGGTACCGAGCAATCTGAAGCGGAAGAGTTGCCTAAAGCATTGGACGACCCGGAATGCTGCGCTTCGACAATTGACGAATTAAAGGACGACAACGATATTAATATCAATCCGGTAACTAAGACCGGCCGTTCCGCAAGTGAGCTAATACGCCCTCACGAGAGAGTTTAGATCAACGTCCAGACCGATATCGACGACGATGTTCAACGAGCACAACAGAATAGAATAAACAGCGGCATATCAAGCCTCTACCTCTAGTGCTCTGTGATTGGGCAGCCTTCCTTATCGCTTGTGGATTTCCTGTTCGTGAGCATCCACAGTTTTATTGATTCTGCTCTCCTCCTACGCCTCTTTCTACCCTCTTCTTCTCCGCCTTCGTGCTGACCGCCTCCCCACCCCTTATTGCGCGTTTTCTTGCCTTGATTCTTCCTCCTCGTGGTGGTGTGACACTCGTTTGCCAGTTTTGTTGAAGCCATTCATGGCGCATCCTTCTCTTTCCAGGGTTAGCCTTGTATTTAGCAAGTATAAGTTCGGCGTGCATATATACAATCGGTAATTCACATTTCACCTATAGTCGCCGACAAAACCATGTGCATATGGCTACTCATGCTTCCACCTGGCCGATCAGAAGACGCCCTGCGCTCAGCGTCCGCGAAGTAAACTTGTCAAAATGAACTCTTGGCTTAAAAAAATAAGCAGAATAATTTTGGCGGTGTGCATGACTTGTCTTCTACTAAATTACCGTCACGACCTCGTCATCTGG